TTTAGGGGCTATTTCATTTGAGAATAAGTAGCTCTCTCTGTTTAGCACTCAAATATTAAAGCAACATGCATTATTAAAAAGTAAATACTTCGTAATATAAAAACGATGCCGCCTTCGGACGACAGCTTTTAAGCGAATCGAGGCCGCCTTCGCTGCGCTCGGCAGCCAGTAGAACGCGCGTATTAGCGTTACAATTTAGAACTCTACCCTCGGACGGACTGACAGACGGACAGACAACACACTCCACTAGAGAGGTAAGACTAGCCGTTCGTCGCCGCTACGCGGCGAAGGTGGCAGGCTGTAGTCCCAGGGGAAAAAAGCTCACGCCTTCGCTGCGCTCCGGCGTAAACATGTTTTATGTAAACGTTATGTATTAAATGCATATGAAATTGAACATTCCTACTCCGAACCAAAGATCTGCCTGTAGACAATGTTCTGGGCGTAGACCCCATCCCCCTCCTCCAGCTTTGGGTACTCGACCAGCGCCTTGAATCTTGATCTTGAAGTAACTCGCGACATCGCAACGTACAGCTGCCCGTGGGAGAAGCAAGGCGTAGCAAGATACAGCCCCAAGTACTGCACCCTTTGTCCCTGTGCCTTGTTAATCGTCATCGCAAAGGCCGGTTGGACAGGAAACTGCTTGCGTCTCAAATGAAACGGAAAGCTCCGAATGTCTCCGTCACTGATGAAAACAATGCGCGGAATCAACACATGTTGCCCTTGTCGCTCACCTGTCATGATTGTGGCGTGGATGACATGTGGCTTGAGGGCCACAATTCGAAGCCGTGTTCCGTTGCACAGCCCTAGATCTGGATTCAGGTTCCGCATCATCATGATAGGCATTCCTACCTTGAGGGTCAACTTGTGGGGCGGCATTCCACTGATATTCATCGAGTGGAGTACCTCCTGCTCGAAGAAATTGCCATCACCGTCGTCTTGTACAGAATCGGAAGACATGTATTCCCGCGCCTGTTTAGTTAATCGATCGGTCACCGCTTCATTGATGCGGTGCACGATTGCGTTCGTGGTCGTGAGGATCGTACGGTTAGCGAAATACTCATCGGTAGCAACTTCGGGGTTGTTAATCTCGCCATACATTTCGTCGATGATCCGATCCATGCCGCTTGAAATAACACCAGGACGAATTTCCTGGTCCTCATCCTCAGGCACAGGTGGATTCTCAATCAGCATATCGCGCGGGATCTTCATGTAATCGCTTCCTAGGGAAGGAGTTACATCATGCCTTCCCTCCCCGACTTGCAGCAGAAAGTCGGAGAACGCAGCCATTTCTTCAGCAGTATCTGCAGTATCAGCAGTGCGCACTCGCATGTTTTCCGTGAGACGGAACGTCTGGAATTGGGGCCATAGCCTAGACGACTTGAGGCAAGCGTCAATTGTCTCGACGGGTGTTCCATTCTTTACGACCGGGAGAATTTGGCGGAAATCTCCCGAAAGTACAAACACTTTCCCGCCAAAAGGCTCGGTATCGTTATCAAGTATGTCCCGTAGTGTTCTGTCTACTGCCTCGAATGCGTGGCGATTGGCCATAGGTGCTTCGTCCCAAATAATCAAACTTGCATGCTAGATCAACTCCTGAATATGGGAGTTCTTGGTGATACCGCACGTCGAGCTCTCGTTTAATTTCAAAGGGATCTTGAATGTAGAATGAGCTGTCCTACCTCCCATAAGTAAGAGCGAGGCAATGCCGCTAGACGCCACAGCGATGGCGATTTTCCCCGAGAGTCTGACTTTGGCCAGTATGTTTCGAAGCAGTGTAGATTTTCCAGTACCACCCGGGCCACCGACAAAAAATAGTTTCTTGCCTTCCTCCGGGCATTCAACCGCTTCAACAATCTGGTCGTAAACCACTCGCTGTCCTTCGTTCAGCTGGTCTTCTGTATTTACAATCGCCTCCAAAGCTGACGCATCGTATCCAGTGAGCTCACGTCGAAGTAAGCCGTTTTGGCGAAGCGATTCACGAATCAATGTTGGAAATGAACCCAACTGAGGAAGCTCGTCGAAGTCTCCTACCGCATACCCGTTCGCTTCAAGTAGTTCTTGAATGCTCATCAGCGTTTCAAATTCGATCAACGCCGACTTAAAGGGGTCCATCAAAGCCTGATGTTTGCGTGCGAAGTCGTGGGAAAGATCCGCGAAGAACCGATCCCATAGAACACCAGCATTTGCTGGAGCTGAATACACCAGAATGGTGACGAAGAGCTGGCGTAGTTGATATGGCATTTGGAACTCAGCCGCTTCCCTCAAACACGAAACCCACTCGTTATCATTCTCCAAGTAGCCAGCCTCCCGCGCCGCAATTTGAAATGTGGGGCAGACAATCCCGTTAACCGCTCTCAAGTCTTCAAACGATGTTGGACCTCTACGCTGACAGAGCAGTAGCCGAAGATAGAACCGCTCCATGTCTCGAGGAGACACATGAATCATGCGACCAACGGCAGCTTGATACTGTTTCCTGCGAACCCACCTTTTCGGTTGCCCTTTCTCCGGCGCTTTCCAGCAAAACTCTTTAGGGATGTCCTGATACAACATCGTCCTGGCAATATGATTCTCGGGCACTTCACTCGCACACAACTCAAAGAATCTGGTCAGCATCGTGTGACTACCACGTTCCAAAACTGCCTCCGGGTTTTCCGTCTCGCGAAAGCAAATCGTCTGGCCTGACTCGAGATGAACCGTTAGCTGAGTAACCGCATGGGTTTTTCCCTGAATCGTGAATTCGAGCAGGCGCATGCAAGCTTCCACCGGAGAAATGTAACGGGCGCTCAAGAAACGTAAAATCTCATTTGGTTCTCAACGCGCACTCTGCTGCCCTTCTCGGACCTCTTCCACAGTGAGTATAGCCATGTCGGGTCCTTTGTACACATACTTGTACAGGTATTTAACCGCAGTGATATCCGTGCACACTTCCACATTGATGTGGCAGTTGTATTTTATGGGATAAGTACGGGTTGTACGGTACAACCCACTGGTTGATCGTAGCATTGTCGTATTCTCTGCCTTTGAACTTTAGAACACCTTGTTGCCGTCGACGTCGTCTGTAGACTGGATATCCATTAGCATTGGCTTGTGTAACTTCTGCTAAGGGCTTCGGATATCCTTTGGTGCACCTGCCGTCCTTCATACACGCGCAGGAAGGGTTTGCAGGCCCGCATGGACCATGGAGCATGCATGACATGACCGTCTCATACAGCTGAGGGTTTGTATCCTTATCTGAGATCTCAGCGCATACCACCTTGTCTACGATCTCGCGGGTTCTAGGTTTGTCTTCGTCAGCCAAAATAATCAATACGTGGGCGTGGGGGAGGCCTCGTTTTTGAAACTCGACAACGTAAATCCGCGCGCGCACTCTCCCAAGGACGCCTTGGTTTAAATCGTCAAGCGTCGCTTGCAGTTTCTGCTGCCACACGCGAGCCACGATATCTGGTCGATCTTGAGCTGTCTGGGTCTCGGAAGGTATCGCTTCAAGAATCTCGTCCCGTTTGGGGTTGCACGTTTCCGTCAGGAAGACGTCGGGTCGTCCATACTCCCGAACAATTGCCATTGAATCTTGATACGACTTGTACATGGACCGCGGGCTACCCAGGTGCGAAGCCGGTAGTATGATACGCTTGCCAACCTGATTAAGAAAGTGGGCTGGTCGTCCTCTGCTGCCTCCGTCCCGGTCCGGGTGCACCAATCTGTTCTGGTCTCGGTCGTATTCCGACAGCAGTACTTCTCCTTCCGCCAGAGCCAAAGTATCTTCGTTGAGCAAAGCGTCTTGAACACCCCTGTATTGATCGGCGCGTAGTGTTTTCTGATTGTCGGCCACCCAGCGAAGCTGTTCCTGCTCACATTTTGCACGCTGATCTACACACCACTGCTGAAATAGACGCCCACCTTGGTGGAGAGCGGACTGGTCATCCACTTTCTGATGAAAGCGGAACGCTACGTGTTCACGAAGCGACATCGCCTTCTTGTTTCGATACTCAGCACCATTCGCGAACTCGTCTGTGTAGGTCCAGCCCTTCTCTCCATATGGAAGGAGAAGCGGGTATTGGAGTGGATCGTAATCGGCGTGAGTCTCATACAAACGTAGCAGCCTTTGATCGCGTGTAAAGAGCAGTAGATCCCGAGGCTGAGCCAGGTTGCCATCCTCAATGAGAGTCGCAGCCACTTCAGACACAGTGGGGCGGTTATGCGTTCTCGGTCGCGAGGAGTTATCATGCAGACGGCAAACCAAATCTACTGGAGTCTCCGTGTTGTGTTGACGCACTTGCTGCCCAAAGTGGAGGAACCGTTGCGCTA